CATTAATAACTGTGGTTTAAATATAACGATTAATCAACGTCATTAAAAATAACATTTGCATTTGGACTTTTGTGTATCGAAAAATTCTGGATCGTTAGGCTAAAAATTTCTACAAAGAGCTTTCCGTGCGTCCGATGAAGAGAACTTTCTCGATAATAGTAAAGTCAGACGTAATAAAGTCGTTCATCGAGAGATTCCTATTTTTCAGGAATATGTAGATTGCTTTTAATTTATTGCGATCGATGAGACGGGTCAGGGGACAGCTTATAGCTCGCTTAGCTTTGCAAGCAGACCTTCGCTATCGCGCCGGCAAAATATCGAAGGTTCTTTGACCGCTGAACTGAGATACACTGCGATATTTTGCAATGCAGTATTGATTTGTTGATATACAATACATAATGAAAAACGATGAATTTTTGATTGAAAATATTTCCATAACGAAATATATTTACTTTTAAAGATTCGACTCTAATTTATCGCTGTATTTATGACATTAAGTCTTCTAGCTGTGGCATGTTTATTCCGCATTATAAATGATAATGCGACGATAAAATTTAGAGAGAAGCGCAGCGCATTAAGTTGCACAATATGACGAGAAAAAAAGTTGTCTGCATAATGCCTTGGTAGAACGTGCATTGGTCTACGGTGCATACATAATGTTCCCTCTGTAATCTTTCTGACGTGTATAATTACTAATTTCTAAATAAGCAGGTCTTACATACCGTTAGTGACATACGTAGATTAAACCTGTATTAGGCTTACATTCGCGATCCCTCGCAGCTATGTGAGACGCGTTACGGATATGGGATGAGACCAGGAACTAATCCGATATCATATTTATATGCAAATCCGCGAATTTTTACTTCCCTCGAGGTTTAATTATTTATAGGAATGCGCGTAATTTGTTACTTGCGTTGCACATTGATTAAAAGCTGCTGTATTCTATTAAGAAATAATTGGATTAATAATTTACGTTAAATTTAGTTGACGTCCAAGCAGTCTACCCAAATTTTTGTGTTAATTTAACACAAGTAAGATGAATATGTTGGGAAGTAGTACAAATATGTAAAAAATTAACATAAAAAAAAGTAACAATGTCATAATTTGTAAGCAAATTATGATAGCATATTTCTTCGATAAAATTAACATTTACATTATGTTAAATTAATACGTTTTAATGGAATTAACATTTATAATTTGTTAAATTAACATTTTATTTTTTAGAATTTACATTTTGAAATATATGAATTTTATATTATTTATCCACTCATAAATTATATTATTTTAACCCTAAGAAATTGAATGTCAAATTAACACAAAATATTCAAATAATACAATCATATTAAAGTAACACTTGGATATGTCCAAAATTCAACATAAAAGTTTTAACAACGACCGATTGTAATAAGAATAAATATTGAATGTTTTTTACTGTTTAGCAAAAACACGGTGATTTCCTGAACAGAACAGTTTCAATGTTGCATGTATCGGTGCAGCGTAATACTTCGTGCAATTGAAATGCCAAGATAATAATCTGATAATTCACGATATAGTAAAGTAAAGATATAAATTCATAGGTCGAGTTATGTTTGCAAGTTATGCAAAGATTACATTTCCAACCATTGATTATTGGCGTGCGTGTCATGCAACGCGGATACTTTCTAACGGGTGACCTTCAGGAACGGTATACTCGGTACGTTCCTCACGTAAATAGCGAAATGTTTCTCATATTTTAGGCCTTAGTTGTGACGCCGGCCAGACTCGGCCGAAAAACGTACGATAAGAGATTCGCGAGAAGGTTTAAATTAGCGAGTCTAGACGCCTCGGAAATATCACGTGGTGGCAAGCCTCATACTGTATCCGCTGCCTTTGGATGTTCGGATGTTCACACCTTGGCACGTCCGCCCACTGTCTCCGAACATTCGTCTGGGCCTATGATAGTTTCGAAAATAAAGTTTTGGTTTGCAAAGTGAACGATCTCTTGCCATACACGAGATAATAAAGCTGCTTAATCTGTCGGCACTCGCGCTGTTATAAAAAATACAACGCATGCTGTTATTCTTGATTTACTTCTTACTAATTATAACGTTTTTGTTCATTTCTTTATAAATTTAAACAATTTATAAATAAGTTGTGAATTCAAACGTATGATAAGCAAATTTTTTTTCTGATTATTTTGATTTATTGTTATCTCTAATTGACGATGCGTTAACTAAAAATGTTGAAAAATGTATTTATTTTACTCAGAATATTGTCTTTATTTTTTAATCGATAATTAATAATATTGAAAAGTACGCAAATTATGATGTAATAAAATTTTATTTCTGTTTCAGGTATGTACCTCGAAATTAGAAAAATCTCTAGTTGACCGTCAATCACCTCAGCACTGTAAGTTACATAATATTTAAATATATCATTTCGTAAAATAATAGCCGTGTCTTCATCGTGAGTATTTCGAATTATGATGGACACACTATATTTACGTCATCGTTTCACGTTTCTCCATTGCACTACTGTTTCGTATTCGCCACACCCACGATTGTCACTTTCACATATGCGATCTCCGGATTTATGTGATTTCATGCGTATGCATTTAAGAAGACACGTGAAACTAACTGTCACCTGATAAACGTTAGTTTGCGATTCATCATAGTTTATAACTGCAAACATGATTCAATGGCTACGTTTACACCGTACGCTTAGTCCGCGACCAATAGATGTCTTTGTTTAACCTATAGGATAAACGAAGATAAACATCTATTGTATAGGTCGCGGTCTAAATGAATGGTGTAAACGTAACCAACAGTCGTAATAATTGAATACAGCAGCAAGAGAATTAGAATTGGAAATTTAAAAATTAAATCAGCTATATATAACGATAATAAGCTGTACAAAAGTTATAATCATATATCGATTTATATAGAAACGAGAAGTCGCTTCTAATTTTTAAATCAATGTAGAATTTAAAAGAAGCTATAGCGACTACGAAACACGAAATTTTTAAGCAATACATGTTTATAGACATGTTTAATGTCATGACAGATTTTGGCATTGTAATTTGGGGATTTTACCGTCTATGGCATAATGGTCCCCATTGTATCTAATGGAAAATCCGCCACTGATTTATGTATTAGCGCATCAGTAGCTAGCTACAGCTCCCTACGACTGCACCGACATTCCACCGAAGATAGATGATCGTGCAGTTATAGTGTCTCAGGTAGCCAAGCGAAGCTATCAATACACAGGTAGAAAATCCAGAATTAGAATACAATAGGATACAGAAAGTGTTGGAGGATTACGGGAAATTAGAAGATGAGGTTAGGGTTAATACCAAATATTTAAAATATTTAAAATACATACATATATATATATATATATATATTTT